TTTCCCTGTCCCTAGTGATTCTGTCATCAGTAGAATCGAACGTTACCGATGCCCATAGGGCTGAAGCCAGGCCAGAAAAGGCCATGCAGCCTGGTTCTCTGACAATGCTCGCTCTCCCGAAGCTTCCCTAGGGAGGTTCCCTCAGAACCCGTGGCCATTCTGTGAGAAGCCCGAAGGGAACGGGGAGGCCATGGGTCGGTGCTCTGCTCCCAGGGGCAGGCCCACCCCAGCACCGCAGGTATGAGTGAGGGAGCCTCCAGGCGATTCCAGCTCCTGGCGGTCGGAATCAGCCCCAGCCATTCCAGCTTCCCCAGCGGAGGTCCCTGACGTTTGTGGCAGAGACACAAAGCCATCCCTGCTGTGTCTTGCCTAATTCTGGACCTGCAAAACCCATGAGCATAATAAAATAGTAATTTATGCCGCTGAGCTGGGAGTGGTTTTGTTTGTTTGTTTGTTTTGCTTTGTGTTCACACAGAAATCGTTTTCTGGAATAACAACTGTATGTCTGGAAGGAGAATATTATTGGTAATATTTGGTGTACAACTGTAGGGAGTGGCTATAGGGTTAAGCCTCAGACTGACCTGTGGCAGGGCCACAAACAAGTCCCAGCTTGGAGGGCAGAGCCCTCTTAGCATAATTAAGCTTGACCTTAGAGTCCTCCCTTGCTCCTTCCTAGGTAGCTAATGGGCTGTGGGAGGTGCAGCAAGTGCTGCCAAAATAAGGTGAAACTCACAAGAACATTGCAAACATGTTGACCACTACCCTTGTTTTGCTTTGTGTGCTCTGACTATAAAATAAAGCTGCGGCTTGCAGGCCGTGGCGCTGTCTCTCCATCATAGAAGCAGCGTCCCACTGAGCCCCAGCTGTATTCTCTTGTCTGTCTTCTTTAATCCTTAACCTGTGTTATCTGTACTGTAGGCCAGGTTTCCCTCTGAGGTGTGAAAAATGGCTGCCAGCAGCGCCAAGCTCACTTCTCACCAATGCGGCAACTTCTACAAAAAGAGAAAGCCTCTATCTTGATGATTCCAGCAAAAACCCAGGGCTTGCCTCTCAGTGGTTTGCTTTGAGTCAGGTGTTCATTTGGAACCAATCTCCGAGGACAGAGAGAGGCAGTGTTCTGATTGGCTAGGCCTGGGTCACGTGCCCCTTCCACCCCCAGCTGAGGATGGGACGGTCTTTTGTTGTATCCACATTGGGGAGGAGGGGAAGGAACACTGAGCGGCTCACAGGGCCCCTGGACTCGATTCCAATGTGTGTGCAGGGAGGCTTCCCCACACCAAGCAGTTACCAGACACCAGAGTCCACAGGTGAAGGGCTCAGCCCGAAGGACTGCCCTCCGCTTCAATGCCAGTCACGGTCCAGACTATTATCTGTGCTTCCGACCAACGGGCTATAAATAAATCAGAGGTTCCTCTCCTTAGGTTTGACTCATTTGCTAGAATGGCTCACAGGACTCAGGAAACTCCCTTACTCACTAGATTACCAATTCATTACAAAGGATATCAGAGGGCACAAATCACCAGCCAGGTGAAGGGAGACGGAGGCTGAAGTCCGGAACAGGGAGTGTCTGTCTGCCTGGAGCGTGGTTCCACCACATGGCAGCTCTTCTAAAAAGGGCCAGTGAGCTGTCCTTTGGGGTTTTTGTGGAGGCTTCATGACATAGTCATGTTTAACTAAAGTCAGCGATTTGCAACCTGTGTGCTGCAAGAATTTTTAAAGCATGCAATACCTGACTGTTTAGAGGGCACTGACCTCTTCCCTAGATTGTACCAAAAAAAAAAAAAAAGTCAACAGCCAGCACAGCAATAGCTATCTGGTGTGAATGAATTAAATTATACCTATTTTATTTTTTGTCACATTGGCAACAAATTTATTTTTTGGTGTGCCAGAGAACATTAGTGATTAGTTTATGTGCACCATGAGATGAAAAAGGTGGAAACCCCTGGTCTAAGCCAATTATGAAGACCTCCTACCCTTACCAGAGATTGATTTAGGGGTGTCAGGTGGCCCAGTTCTGGCCAATGAGCCATGAGGGGAGGCCTGCTTAGGATTTTTGTGAGGAAGTTTTCCTCATTTTCTCAGGATTTACTGGAAGGGAAGTTTCTTCTTACTGGAGTTTACATGGTTTCTGTACACAAACCACCATAGAAAAGAAAAAAAGAAGAGCCCTGGCTGTTGTGCTCAGTGGTTAGAGCATCCGCCCATGCACTGAAAGGGTCGAGGGTTCGATTCTGGGTCAAGGGCTTGTACCTGGGCTGCAGGTTCAATCCCCAGCCCAGGACAGGGCATGTGAGGGAGGCAACCAATCGATGTGTCTCTCTCACATCAATGTTTTCCTCCTCCCCTCCCTCACTTCCTTCTACTCTTTCTAAAAATCAGTGGGGAAAAAATCCTTGGGTGAGGATTAACAAAAAAAAGGAAGGAAGGAAGGAAGGAAGGAAGGAAGGAAGGAAGGAAGGAAGGAAGGAAGGAAGGAAGGAAGGAAGAAAGAAGGAAAGATAGATCTTGGGTTCTAAATGACACTGTGAAGCCACTGAAAGCAGTGTTCCTAGGGCCCCTCTCCTCAGATCTCGTGTGATGTGAAATGAGGAATGTGAATTTCCTCACTGCTTCCTAAGCTGGTTTTTCAAAGGCATCCTGACAGGCCTTGTAGCAGGGACAATCTGGTCAGGGCACAGGCGGTACAGTGCTAGACACGCAACTCTTCTCATCATCCCATGTGGCCTCCTCAGGATTCAGAGTCCTTGGAGACAGCAGCACCCACTGGTCAAGTTTACGTCTATTTTTTAAAAACAAAAAACAAAATTTGATAGAATTAACTTGAAGATCTAATTAGCTTTATTAAGCAATTTATGAATTGAGCAGCATCCCATCTAGCGACTAGAAGTATGTTCCAATGGGGTTGTACAACATAGAAGAATTTTATAGGAAGGAGGCTGGGGCAAGGGAGCTATCAGTGAAAGAAAAGAAAAAGATTTTTAAACATAGGTACTAAGCTCCTTTAAAAAATATTTTTTTAAAAATTGAATTCAGAGAAGAAGGGAGAGGGAGATAGAAACATCAATGATGAGAGAGAATCATTGAATGGCTGCCTCTTGCACGCCCCCTACTGGGGACCAAGCCCACAACCCAGGCATGTGCCCTTGACTGGAGTCGAACCTGGGACCCTTCAGTGGATAGGCTGACGCTCCATCCACTAAGCCAAACCAGCTAGGGCAAGAAAGAATTCTTTTTGAGCCTGGGCATCTTTTCTTTGGGGGAAGAAAAGCTAAGGGTTTTTATGGTGGAGAGTGCATCTTCTTTTTATGAGGGATGTTAATTATACCTTAACAAATGTAAATTTTAGCTGCAGCTTAACTGGATGGTTCTGGCTTGAGGTCACTCATGAGGCTGCAGGCGAGACGTTGACTGGGGCTGCAGTATCCACTTACAGCATAGCCCCTTCACAAGGCGGTCAAATTGGTACTTTCTCCCCACACATGCCTCTCCCTAGGGCCGCTTGAGTGTCCTCCAAGCGGGCAGCTGGCTTCCCGTAGAGTGAATGATCCAAGACACCATGGCAGAAACTGCAATGCCTTTTATGACCTGGGCTTGGAAGTCAAACACCATCACTTCTGCCATATTCTACTGGACCCACAGAACAGCTCTGACTCACTGTGGGAAAAGATTATGCACAAGGGCATGGGTTTCAGGAGGTGATCACTGGGGACCATCTTGGAGACGCCTCCCACATTGCACCTGCTCATTCCTTCTTGGTTTGCTCTGCTTTCCAACTATGTGCAGGCTTCATTCTCAGGCAGGCCTTCCCCAAACAGAGACAAAGGTGGCCATCAACATCTCCAGGCTCCCATTCTTAGGGACTCTAGTGGGAAGAAAGTGCCCCTTTCCCAAAAGTTTTGGTGAGAAAGTCCCAAGATTGACTCTGACGGGACAAACTTGTGTCTATGCTTCTCCCTGAACCAATCACTGAGGTCCACAGGTACCCTGTTCTTATTGGTCAGGCCGAGGCCACACCCCCAGCCCTAGAATGGAGGGTAGAGTTGGCAGCACTAGAGACCCATGAGAGAATAAAGGAGGAGTGGTTCCCCCAAAATAAAATAAAATAAATCAGGGTGCCAGGGCAGGAAAAACAACACATGTCCCCCCATCTCCCTCCTTTGTGCTCAATTGCTCCAAGTTCTGTGGTTGGTAGAATTCTAAGATGGCCCCAAGGTATATGCTTACTTTCTCCCAGTTATTCAATCAAACCCTAATCTAGATGCTTCTGTGGAAGAATGCTGCAAATGTAACTAAGGTCCCAAATCAGTTGACTTTAAGATAGGGGTATTATACTAACCAGGTGAGCCCTTAGGAGGAACAGCATTCTTCCTGGTAAAGGAGATTCAACTCATGAAAGTCAACACCAGGGAGACTTTGCTGCTGGCTTGGGAAGTGGGAGGGGGCCATGTGGTCAGAATTTCAGGCAGCTTCTAGGAGCTAAGGGTGGGCCCTGGCTTAGAGCCTGCAAAGAAACAGTGACCTCAGTCCTACAAATGCAAGGAACTGAATTCTGCCAACAGTGTGAATAGCGTGGGAGTGGGTTTTCCCCCAGAGCCTCCAGAGAACTCAGCCTTGGTGTCACTTTTGTGAGACCCTGAGCAGAAAAACTAGTTGCATCGTGCTGGACTGTCAACCTACAAATTTGTGAACTAATAGATGGCTATTGTTTTAAGTTGTGAAGTTTATGGTTCCATTTAGGCAGCAATAGAAGATGAGTACACTTCCCAATGGACCGTGCAATCCCCAATCCCGATAGTAGGGAGCTTGTCTCGGGTCTCCTTAACCTCTTCATCCCCAGAACACAAGAAGTCTCTCTTCCTGCTTCCAGTCCCACTATCTGGGAAAGAGAGAAGGAACCCAGGTCTTCGTCGTCCTACCCCAACCCCCCAACTGGCAACTTCCTGCCTTTGGCTTTCCACAAACAGCCTGTGCCCCACCAGGCAGCTCAATGTATCTCCACTTCCCAGTCCTCAGAGACCTTTGGCCAACTCTATTGATCTGGACTCCTGCATAGGCGGGTGGACAGACGGACAGACGCCATGAGGACTCTGCTGCTCCTGGGGTCCCTGGTGGTGATCCTGGAACCAGCGCTTATGGTGAGGGCTGTGGGAACCAGGAGGATTGTGCGGGGTGGCCCTGGGGGTCCCTGTCACAAGCTTGGCCTCTGCCTGTGACCTCTTGGTCGAGGTGACCGAAGGCCTGTGTGGAAAGGTGAGGTCAGCCCAGAAGGCCCAGGAGGAGGAGAGAGGCACCAGAGCCTGTGGATACGAGGGGGTGACCTGCATTTCTGGAGGAGAGGGTCCCTGAGGAGGGCGGAGGAGAAGGGGCCTGGGTCTTGTGAGGAAAGCTCTGTTTCTCTGGGCTGTGAGAAGAAGCTGGGGACTAGCATGGAATCAGGGGCAGGCTATGACTTCCAGGGCAATTTCCCTGTCCTCTTCTCTCCTCCTGTAGACTCCACGTTGGAAAAACCTCAAGGTGCCTAAGCCCGTAGAAGATGAACACACAGTGGGTAAGTAGCCTGGGTCTGCCTCCGAAGAGACCCTTGGTTGGGAATGAGTGTGATTGGGTCTGTCTCAGGCCCTTGGAACCAGGGGCAGGATCCTGGGCACAACTGTTACTCTTGTCCCCAGAGTCACCTGGCTGGCATTCAGACCGGAGTGCCTGCTGTGTGCCAAGTCTATGCTGATGGGCTCTAGGGGCCCAGAATGCTAGTAGATGTCTGCTCCTTGAGTGTAGGGCTGTTTCTGAGTGCCCAGTCCAGCACCTGCCAGTTTTCTGTTTCCCCATGCTCCCCCATTCTTTTCCTTTCCTCGATATATCTCACAGGCATCAGCCATGCCACACAGAGGCCAGAGGCCTTGATAGGCGAGGAAGGATCAAGAGCAGGCATCATTTGGAGCCCAAATGCCTCTGAGAAAGTGACTCGACCTCTCCAAACTTCAGTTTCCCCACCTGTAAAACCAAGCTGGTTATAGTAAACACCTTAGGGGTCTTGGGAAGGAGAAATGAGTCATGAATCCATGGGAAAGTACTCAGCTCATGGTCAGGTGCATGGTCAATGCTTAAAATATACTAGCTTTTTTAATTAAACTCTCTTTTAGGTGGGGATGTCTGCCATCTCCCCCTTCCTCAAACCCAACCAGAGCTCCCCATTGCCTCCATTCTTCCAGGCACTACATATTCACCTGGAGTTGTGAACTGATGGCCCCTGCCCTGGTGAGCCTGGCCTGTGGGGTCAGGCCTAGCCCCTTAGCGTGGCACTGAGGACTAGCTCATACAACCCTGTCTGCCTCAGCCTCCTTTCCTCATCACTCCATAGCCATCCAAACTGCTCTCCACCCTCTTGCCTAGTCCAACTAGGTGATCAGCCCTTGCCTCATCATCTACTTAGGATGCTCCTCCTCTCTGTTCATCCCATTTGCCTCTTAAGAGTCCATCTCAGACCCTTCTCTCTTCTTTTACTGTCCTGTCACTGGTTTGGTTTTCAGCAAGTGCCACTGTGCCTTTAACAACAAAATAACAGTGAATGCTTATTGAGCAGGTACTATATGCCAGGCTGTGCTAAGTGTTTTACAGGCACTAGCTCATTTAAACTTCACGGTGTTCCTCTAAAACAGATACAGTCAATTCTTATTTTGTTTTGTTAGTCAGCGTAAACACTGAATTCACAAATACTGAACCATTGCTCCTACAGGAAATATAGAGTTGGGTTCCTGCGTGCCTCTGGTCACAAAGTTTTCATCAACTGTCAATATATAAACCTTGTTTTATGTGGGATTCTGTTTAAAGATGCCTGGCTTAATGTGTATTGTTGATTCATTAACATTGACCTCACAGCCAATGGCAGTAACTCATGCCTGGATGAAACTTATCTAAGATACATGTGTTCTCCATGAGACACAGCACAGCCCACGTGCACACTGGAACGCAGCACTTCAGCACTATGGGGGCCATGGTCAACAACAAAAGCACAAAATGTGAAAAATGTGGCACTAAATCAACTATGAAAAGGACACTTGCTTACAACAGGAGAGTTGAAGCAAGAAGCAGTGTCACACCTGGGTTGAACTCATGTGGGAATGTGCACTTCTGGCTTCCAATAATTCAAATTTTCACCACTCTGTGCATGTCTGTGCATGACTGTGAAAGCCCCTTGAGAACTGATTTGGGTTTACAAATAAATTTTAGCAAGAAGGCAGATTTGCAAATACAGAATCTGTGAATGATGAGGCTTGGCTATACTATTTTTAGAAATTATAATAGCAATATATTTTTATTGTCAAAACTTCAGAAAGTACAAAAATACAAAAGAAGAAAAAAGTCTGTCATAAGCCACACTCTTCCAAAAACCACTCTTGCAAATTTTGACAATGTCTTTCTAGTAGATTTTTTTTTTTTAACGCATAAATGTATTTGTCCAAAGATAAAACCATACCAACATGCTGTTTGTAACTTGGCATTCTTCATTTAAATAAGAACACCCTCCCAGATAGAGTGGCTCAGTTGGTTGAGTGTGATCCCATGTACCAAAAAGTGGCCGTTTTGATTCCTGGCCAGGGCACATACCTGGGTTGCAGGTTTAATCCCCAGTTGGGAAGCATATGGAAGGCAACTGATTGATATTTCTCTCTCACATCTCTCTCTCTCTCTCTCTCTCTCTCTCTCTCTTTCTCTCTCTCTCTAAGCATGTCCTCAGATAAGGATTTAAAAATATAATAAAAATGCCTGACCGGTGTGGTTCAGTGGTTGAGCTTTGATCTATGAACCAGGAGGTCATGGTTCGATTCTTGGTCAGGACACATGCCCGGGGTTCTGGGCTCATTCCCCAAAGGAGGGCATGACAATCAATGATTCTCTCTCATCATTGATGTTTATATCTCTCCCTTTCCCTTCCTCTCTGAAATCAATAAAGATATATTTTAAAAATAATAAAAATAAACAAATTATGAGCACCTTTCTGTACTAATATATCTACATCATCATTTAAATTGTTTATTGTTGTAAAATACACATAACATAAAATTTACTATCTTAACCATTTTTAAGTGTACAATTCAGTGGTATTAAGTACATTCATATTGTGCAACCATCAGCAACACCTGTCTCCAGAACGCTTCATCTTGCAAAACTAAAACGCTTTGACTGTACTATTATTATTGCCATCTTACAGATGAGGAGACTGAGGCTCAGAGTGGTCAAGTGACTGCAACATTCAACAAGCATTGACAAAGCCCTTCCTTTGTGGCAAGCACTCTTCTAACGCGTGTGTGCGTGCAGGGGAGGGGGGCGGGGGCGGGCTGCAGACTTGCACAAGGTCATACACCTAGGAGGTGCTGGAGTCTGAGACCACTCCAGCTGTCTAACGCTTGGACCCAACTTCTTAAGCAGGAAAATTGAAGGCATAGCGATTTTGTGTGTGTGTGTGTGTGTGTGTGTGTGTGTGTGTGTGTGTGTGAAAGGTTTCAGAGAGAGGAAGGGAGAGGGGGAGAGAGATAGAAACATCAATAATGGGAGAGAATCATTGGTTGACTGCTTCCTGCATGCTCTCTGCTGGGGATTGAGCCTGTAATCCGGGCATGTGCCCTGACCAGGAATCTAACCATGACCTCCTGGTTCCTGGGTCTATGCTCAACTGAGTCATACCAGAGGGACTGGCAGCACAGTGATCTTTTGGGGGGTCTATTTTTTCCAACTAGACCCTGAGCAGGGTGCCTGGGAGATTGGCACAGGGAACGTCATTAGAGCGTGTGTTCTCTCCGCAGTTCTCACTGTCACTGGGGAGCCCTGCTACTTCCCTTTCCAGTACCGCCGGCAGCTGTATCATCAGTGCACCCGCAGGGGCCGAATTGGCCTCCGGCCCTGGTAAGATGACCCAGAAGGGGTTGGGGCAGGACCTGGGGAGATGGCCTCTGCCCTGCATCCACGCAAGGAAACCTGCTTGGAGAGAGGGACTGTGATAAGGAGGGTGGGCCTGGGCAGAGCAGGGAGCTTTATCTCTTTCTCCAGGTGTGCTACTACCCCCAACTTTGACCAGGACCAACGATGGGGATACTGCCTGAAGCCCCAGAAAGTGCAAGGTGCCACACACAGCCTCTGGGGTGGCCCCAGGCCCTCCCCTCCCCCCTCATTACTTTTCTGAGTCTCATCAGACTCTACACACCTGGGATTCTGGGCCCTCCCTCCAGCGGGAGAAGTTCTGGGAGGGGGTAGCCCCATTTTGCATGCGGGTAAACGAAGGCCTGGAAACAAGGCCAAAAGACAAGACAAGCAGGTTCAGGCATGGACTTGGCTCCTATGGTCTGACTCAGGCTCCCCTCTTCCTCCCACTGTGCCCATCTCTCAGACCACTGCAGCACACACAACCCCTGCCAGCGGGGCGGCACCTGTGTGAACATGCCAGACGGCCCTCGCTGCATCTGTCCAGAACACTTCACGGGGAAGCACTGCCAGAGAGGTAAGGGATGCTGGGGTGGGCGGGGTGGGGGCTGGGGAGCAGGAGCAGCCCTGCCTGAACAGGTCCCAGGACCCTCAGAGACTGGCATGGCCCCAGTCTGTCTGAGACCAGAACACCACTTTGTCCCCAGAGAAGTGCTTCGAGCCCCAGCTTCTCCAGTTCTTCCACGAGAATGAAACATGGCATAGGCTTGAGCCGGCAGGCGTGGCCAAGTGCCAGTGCCAAGGCCCCCAAGCCCACTGCAAGCCCCTGGCCAGCCGGGGTGAGTGAATGGTCCGGAGCTGGTCGGGAGGAGGGAGGAGAAGCTGGCGGAAGGTCGGTGGTGTGCCTCCGGAAGGGGGAGAGCTCTCTGTGGGGTCTTGGGGCCCAGAGGTGGCTCAAGGCCTCCTCCTCTCAGTCTGTAGCAACAACCCATGCCTCCACGGCGGCCGCTGCCTCGAGGCGGAGGGTCACCATCTGTGCAGTTGTCCCGAGGGCTACGCGGGACGCTTCTGCGACGTGGGTGAGTCGGTCCAGCTGGAGGCAGAAGGCCCGCCTCCACCTGGGGAGGCTCGCCGAGAGGGAGGGGAGAGAGGGGGAGGGGGAGAGACCGAGACAGGAGGGGAGGGACGAGGAGAGGAGAGAAGAGGAGGGGCGGGGAGGGGAGAGGAGAGAAGAGGAGGGGCGGGGAGGGGAGAGGAGAGAAGAGGAGGGGCGGGGAGGGGAGGGGGACCACACCAGCCCCGGCTGCAGGGAGCCTCCTCTCTCCCCAGACAAAGAGGCCAACTGCTACGAGGGCCTTGGGTTGGGCTACCGAGGCGCTGCTGGGACCACGATCTCGGGCGCGCGGTGTCAGTCTTGGTCGTCGGAGATCACTTACCAGAACCTGACTACAGAGCAAGCACTGAATAGGGGACTGGGCCACCATGCCTTCTGCCGGTACCGCGCCGGGCCGGGCAGGGCGTCCCCCCTCCTCTCTTCAGGGCCCTTTGGGGCTCCCCAAGCTCTAATAGGGCCCTCTCCCGTGGTGACAGGAACCCAGACAATGACACTCAGCCGTGGTGTTTCGTGTGGAGCGGCAACCGGCTGAGCTGGGAATATTGCGACCTAGCACGATGCCAAGCCCCAACCCTATCAGCGCCCCAGACCCAGTCTCCATTACGGGGACCCCTTATGCGCCTGGAGCGCCCCCTACCCTCGCGTTCAGCATGGCCAGAGCCTCAGGTCACGACCCAGACCCCAGGTAACTGGGAAGGGGCAGGAAGACCAAACAGAGAGCGCACGGGGCGAGCTACGTTACAGCCACTCGTGGGTTTCCCTGTCCTCAGCCCGGGCTCCTCCACAGCCTTGGGCGCGATGCCGAAGCCCCCTGTGCTCCGGGACGAGATGCCGGGGGTCCGGGACGAGATGCCGGGGAGGCCACCCGTGCTCTGGGAGGAGATACTGGAGAGGCCACCCGTGCTCTGGGAGGAGATACCAGAGCTGCCCTGGGAAGATATGCGTGGGAGCCCCCCCAGGCTCGGAATCGGAGCCACCTGCGGACAGAGGCTCCGGAAAGGGCTGTCCTCCCGGAAACGCGTCGTCGGGGGACTGGTGGCGCTGCCCGGCGCGCACCCCTACATCGCCGCGCTGTACTGGGGCCACAGTTTCTGCGCCGGCAGCCTCATCGCCCCTTGCTGGGTGCTGACCGCAGCTCACTGCCTGCAGAACCGGCCAGTACCGCCTGCCCGGCGTAGGCTCAGGCCCGCGCGACACCCGAACCCATGCCCTCTCTTCCCCCGGCCCCCGCCCCCAGTTCCCCTGGAGGAAGCTGAGACCCAGGAAGGGGCTCCGGGGCAGGGGGCTTCTCCTGGCCGCCGGTGTCCGGCTCTGAACCTGCATCCTCTTCCCACCCTGCCCGCAGGCCGGCGCCGGAGGAGCTGACTGTGGTGCTGGGCCAGGACCGCCACAACCAGAGCTGTGCGCAGTGCCAGATCCTGGCCGTGCGCGCCTACCACCTGCACGAGGACTTCTCACCCGTCACCTACCAGCACGACCTGGGTGCGTGGGGGCGCCCCCGGGGACCGGGGAATTGGGAGGAGGGCTCGGAGGCCGGCGTGCGGGCCTCACGCTCCTCCCCGCCCGGGTTAGCGTTGCTGCACCTGCAGGAGAGCCAGGACGGCAGCTGCGCACGCCGGTCGCCTGCCGTGGGGCCCGTTTGCCTGCCGAGCGGCGCCGCTCGCCCCGCCGAACCCGAGGCCGCGCTCTGCGAGGTAGCCGGCTGGGGCCACCAATTCGAGGGTAGGCAGAACCGCTGGGGGCGGGAGGGAGACCTCTGGCACCGGGGTGGGCAAGACAAGCCCGCAGCTTTGGTATCACCAGGGACGGGAGGGGCTGACCTGCTGGGCTGTGAGGACGTGCAGTGCCCTGTCTCTGCAGCCACCCCTCCCCGGGCCTGGAATCCACTCTTGGGGGCCCCCAAACTCCAGAGTACAGGGAGCATCACACTTCCTCTTGGGTCCCACTGGGCACCGGTATGCACGGCTAACTAGGACACGGGCCTGCGCTCGAACAGGGTGGGTAGTTGAGGTTCTGAGATGCTGGCTGGGAAGGGGGAGGCCTGCTCCGCCCCGCCCATCGCCCATTCGCATCCCGCTCCCCTCGGGCCTGTTTTCTGGTCTGTGAAAGGTGTTACCGGCAGCTGCCTCCCTCCCGGGCCTGTTGCGAGGGAGGCAGTGGATCTGGAAGAGCCTGGCGCAGGCGGGGAGCCGAGTCGGGAGTGGTGGGGTGAGCACTTCCTTGGTTCCCAGGGGCGGAGGAATATGCCAGCTTTCTGCAGGAGGCGCAGGTGCCGCTAATCCCTCACGAGCACTGCTCCGACCCTGATATGCACGGCAACGCCTTCTACCCCGGCATGCTCTGCGCTGGTTTTCCCGAGGGGGGCACCGACGCGTGCCAGGTGAGCCTTCGGGCCCGCTTCGCGCCCTACCCCCACCCCGTCCAGTGCAGACCCCAGGCCAAGGGCGCTGAGCCGTGTATCTCCACCCAGGGTGACTCCGGGGGTCCGTTGGTGTGTGAGGAGGAGGACGAAAAGCGTCAGCTCACCCTGCGAGGCATCATCAGCTGGGGCTCGGGCTGTGGCGACCGTAACAAGCCGGGTGTGTACACCGATGTGGCCAACTACCTGACTTGGATCCGTGAGCACATGGCTTCCTGACCGCCCAGGAACTCCTCTTTTCCTCCTCGGTGGTCCTGGAATGGGAGGATGGCTGGGCCTGATCCTGGACCGCAAGGATGTGTTCCAGCACCGTCAGTCCGTCAGTCCGGCCCCAGGCACGGAGTAAACACTCAATAAAGTGCTTTGGAAATGCTTCAGAGGCACAGCTCTTCAGGGGTCCCGCTGGGAAATGCCGAGACAGTAAGCCAGTAAGCGCAGCTTCTCCACCGCCCCTAGAGAGCAGGATCTATTGAGATCTTATGCGAGATTTAGATTCTTGTCCAGCTGACGTTTACTGAGCCGGTGTACTGAGCCCTGTGCAGAGTGGCTCCACATATTATTTCTCGTATGAAACATTAATATTTTAAATTTCCAGAGAAATTCTCAGCCTTGACTGCACGTCAGAACCTATGCCCGAGATCCACCTCAGAGCAATTAAATCCCATGTCTCTAGGGATGGGGCATGGGCAGTGGTATGTTTTAAAAGTTCCCCGGTGATGACATGTTCAGGCGGGGTTGGGAACCGTGGTTAGAAATGCTTAACCTGAAAACTGGTGTGGAGCCTTAGGGCTGGCGGCCAGAGTGGAGTCCCTCACTTCCCCCCAACGCTGCTAGGGCAGTGGGTCTCCGAGTGCGAACCTGGGACCAGCAGCAGTGGCGGCGCCAGGGAATTTGTAGAAATGCACACTTTCAGGGTACACGCCATACTACGGAATCAGAAACTCTGAGTTGGGCCCAGCAGTCTGCACCACAGCTTTCCAGGCGATTCTGGAGCGCCGACATTAGAGAACCATGTTCTGGGGACCAGGCAGAGAGGCCCCACTGTCCAGACGTGGCATCTTTTTATTTAAAAAAAAATATTTTGCCATAACCGGTTTGGCTCAGTGGATAGAGCGTCGGCCTGAGGACTGAAGGGTCCCAGGTTCGATTCCAGTCAAGGGCATGTACCTTGTTTGTGGGCACATCCCCAGTGGGGGGTGTGCAGGAGGCAGCTGATCGATGTTTCTCTCTCATCGATGTTTCTAACTCTCTATCCCTCTTCCTTCCTCTCTGTAAAAAAATCAATAAAATATATTAAAAAAATATTTTATTGATTTTTTTACAGAGAGAAAGGGAGAGGGATAGAGAGTCAGAAACATCAATCAACTGCCTCCTGCACACCCCCCACTGGGGATGTGCCTGCAACCAAGGTACATGCCCTTGACTGGAATGGAACCTGGGACTTTTCAGTCCGCAGACCGACGCTCTATCCATTAAGCCAAACCGGCCAGGGCTGATGTGGCATCTTTAAAAATATATATATATATATATATATATATATATATATATATATATATGCCGAAACCGGTTTGGCTCAGTGGATAGAGCGTCGGCCTGCGGACTCAAAGGTCCCAGGTTCGATTCCGGTCAAGGGCATGTACCTGGGTTGCGGGCACATCCCCAGTAGGAGATGTGCAGGAGGCAGCTGATATGTTTCTCTCTCTTCGATGTTTCTAACTCTCTATCTCTCTCCCTTCCTCTCTGTAAAAAATCAATAAAAATATATTTAAAATATATATATTTTTTATTGATTTCAGAGAGGGAGAGGGAGAGAAAGAAACATCAATGATGAGAAGGAATCACTGATCCGCTGCCTCCTGAATGCCCCCTACTGGGGATGGAGTCCACAACCCGGGCATGTGCCCAGACCAGGAATCAAACCCTGACCTCCTGGTTCATAGGTCAACGCTGGAGCACTGAGGCCCGCCTGCGGGCACACCTTTTTGTTTTTAAACCCATGTGCACTGTGCTTGATGGGCCATCTAAATTGGTTTTCAAGGATTATTTCCATTCTCATGCAATCTCCTCCTTCAGGCTAAATGTGAACTTCACCAGGTGACAGATCCAACCCCGCCCCCATTCTCCACCCCCAGCCTCAGCGTCATAACCCCGCCCTCGCATCCGTCACAGTGCCCCCAGCATTTTAGGCGGGAGCAGCCCGGCAACCCTCCGAAGTGCAAGGCGAGGGACCAGCGCTGAGTCAGAATGGGCGAGTGGAAAGCCTACATCAGTGCGGTGCTGCAGGACCAGCGCATCGACGACGTAGCCATCGTGGGCCACTCGGACAATCGCTGTGTGTGGGCATCGCGGCCCGGGGGACTGCTGGCCGCCATCTCGCCGCAGGAGGTGGGTGTGCTCACGGGGCAGGACCGGTGCACCTTCCTGCAGGCCGGCCTGAGCGTGGCGGGCCGCCGCTGCTGCGTCATCAGAGACCACCTGCTGGCGGAGGGCGACGGCGTGCTGGACGCGCGCACCAAGGGGCTGGATGGGCGCGCGGTCTGCGTGGGCCACACGCCGCGCGCTCTTCTCGTGCTCATGGGCCGGCGGGGCGTGCACGGGGGCATCCTCAACAAGAAGGTGCACGAGTTGATCCACTGGCTGCGCACTCAGGGCACCTAGCAGAGCAGCCATGTGATGGCCGCGGAGACAAAATAAACTCAGACCTGGGAATGGCGGACTCATCCTCTGGTTGCAGGGGGTGGGGGTGGGAGTTGTTGCTGAGGAGGACACCGGTTTCCTGGAAGGTCCTTGCAGAAAGGTCACCTGGTGGAGTTGGGATTATGACTCCCATTGGGTGCCCTCCCATTGGGTGCCCTGCAGAGGCTCTGACCTGACTCCCCAGGCCAGAGTCAGGGGCGCAGGCATTGGAGACTTCCCAGGGCCCTAGGGACACCGAAGCTGAGCAGGAGCCCCAGGGAGCAGCCTTCTCAAACTCTCTAGCTCAGACCTGAGCATCCTTTCCCACAAAACTGTCCCCACAGCCGTGCAGGATGAACCCTAAGGGAGTCTCCTCCCCACCTTCCTACACCCCTCCCCAGGCTGCACCTCAGTGTGCTTCTCGCCTCTTCCACTTGGCAAGAGGAAGCACTAGCAGGGGCTGTGAACAGGTGACAGGTGTGGCTGGTAGCTTGGGGAGCGTCTCTGGGGCTCCCAGTCTCTTGCATCTTCCCCACATGCCTCCAAGAGGGTGGGTGGAGGACTGTGTCCAAGATCATCACAGCCAGGTCTGGGCCCTACAGCCTCCAGTCCCCTTGGGGTCCAAAGGCTCCATAGATACCCTGGACTGGAGGGAGGAACGTTGACACCTCCGATCCCTGCACCCTCCCCTGCATGCCTCAGCTGGGGTGGGGGGGAGGCTACAGAGGAAGAGGAATTGAAAACTTGAGTGGGTTTAAATGAGACATGGCTTATTGTCAAAGATGGACAAGGGTAGGAGGAGGGAGGGTGGCTGGTTCCTGCCCCCCTGTATCCTGGCTTGTCCTATGTACTTTGAACCTCCTGGTCCCCTCTCACAGTAGTCCCCATAAGCCCCACAAGTCACTTGCTTTGGGGAGAATTGATCTCATGCTAGAAAGAGGGAGGGAGGGAGGGAGTCAGTGAGGTAGGTGAGTCCAGAGACGAGAAGAAACCAGAGGTCAGCCTGGTGGGCTGGGGGATGGAGGTGCAGAGAGCCCTGCTAACATTGGCCTTGACCTTGGGGACTTTCAGGCAGTCTGGGCTGTGGATTGGACTCATTAAGGCAGAGCTAGGAAATGGTTGGGGTGAGCTTGTCGGCTGGCTCTCCCAGGGCACAGCAGGCTGTCTTGGGAGGGGAGATAGTGCTCCTGAACCCCTAGCTATGGTCTCTCCTCCCCCCCAAATGAGAACAAACAGATTTTCAAATGCATAATCAAAGTTTAATTCCTTTTTTCTTTTTTAAAATCAGGCAGTGTTGGGAAAGGGGGTTGTAGCAGTGATGCAGAAAGCTGGGTGAGGAAGAGGAGAATGGCATGGAGGAAGGGAAGTGGAAGGGAGAGGGTGAGAATTCAGCCAGTGACATCTCTGCATGAGCAAACAGCTGGGAGTCAGGTACTCAGACCCACCCTCATTCCCACCCAGCCCCGTTGGAGTTGTGTGGACACAAGTACACAAGCACCAGCCTCCAAACAATGTGCAAAGGGCTGGAAGTCATCGCAGGTGCCCTGCAGCCTGCAGAGAGCCACAGGTGCACCATGATGGACACACGGGCAGGCTGGCACAGGCTCACACAGCAACCCAGTCACGCAGCCCAGACCTCTGAGGGCCTGCTCAAGGGCAGGAGCATGTACACAGACACACACCCCTCCCCTCCCACCCGGGCACCAGGCACAGGCCCTTCCCTGCCCCAGGTGGCAGTGTGGGCTGAAGCCTAGAGGCGGGTGGCATTGTGGTGAGCAGGCAGGGCAAGGCGGGGAGAGGGTGTAGCAGGGGGCAGCTCCTCCAGGAAGACCCTGGGGGGCAGTGGGGGTGAGCGGGGCTCGGGCCTGGCACAGCACAGGGTGGCGCGGGTGATGAGGCGGTCCAGGGGCTGTAGGGAGTGCATCCACCGGGGCAGGAAGTCCCATGTCTGCAGCCACTTGGGCAGGTGCCTGGGGCTGCGACTCTGCAGGACACTAACGAGCACCACGAAGGCCAGCAGGGCCGCGAAGGGTGCACCCACACCCACCATGGCCCACCCGCCTGCCATGGAGATGCCAAATACCAGCGAGGGCATCAAGACAAAGCACAGCAGGAGGTAGAGGACGGCAAACCAGCGGTACTTGGCGGTGCATCTGCCTAGGGCCTTGGCCATGCGGATGGGCAGGCGGGTGCAGGGCACCGGGTACCACAGCAGGATGCCTGAGATGTTGAAGAAGAAGTGGCAGAGGGCGATCTGCAGAGAAGAGGGCAAAGGAGCTGAGGTGGGCACAGGCTCACTCCCAAGCCAGGACCGTGGGAACAGATATAGGGCCCGGCCTGGTCTGGGCAGCAGGAAAGTCACACTAGGGTTGACGTGCCCCCAGTAAAACACCGAAACACTTCTGGGCCAGTTGGCAAATAATCACTGCCCTGGACTCCCCACATCTCCCCCTCAAACCCTGCTTCTAGGACTTCCCCAGCAGATGCTGCCCAAATCCAGGAGCTAAACGATTTCTCCTAGTTTCTGCCTCAGCAGTTCTGGCCTCCTGATGGGTCCCCACCCTGACCTGAGCCCCTGCTTGTCGTTACTACTTCTCCTAGAACAGCCACTGCTCTGCCGAGTCCCCCCTACTCATCCTTGATCCCCCAGACTGGCCAGGTCCCTCTCACAGCACCCCTCCCTCAGAGTGCACACCCCACCCCTGCTCATTGGTGGACTAAGTCACATTTTCCTGGTAGACAGCAAGGTCCTGAGGGCGGCACCACCACATGGCTGCCGCAGAGGCTGGCAGAGCCGCTGGCCTAGTTAGCAGTCAACAGCTTGTTACTCAGCGTCCCACCAAGGGTCAGCGCCACACCCCAGGCCCAGCACGGTCCTCTCTCTGGCAGGGCTGCTCTCCCAGGCACACCTGGAAGGCACTGGACAGCTTCTCCCGGGGGCTGGCCAGGGCAGCCAGGATGGCTGTGGTGGTGGTGCCGATGTTGGAGCCCAGCGTGAGGGGGTAGGCGCGCTCAATGCTGATCACACCCAGGCCTGGGGGGAAGAGGGAAGATGTGGTCTCCCAGCTCCCCCCTCAGCCCTTTCCCTGCCACCCCGCCCCCCACCCCGGCAGAAGCACTCACCGATGAGTGGGGTGATGGCCGAGGTGAATACAGAACTGCTCTGGACCACGAATGTCATGGCGGCGCCCACCACCATGGCAAAGTAGCCGGTGACCCAGGTGAAGGGGGTGGGGAAGTCTGTGGGGAAACGAGCCCCGCAGGGTCAGGGTGGGGCTGGGACCGCAGGGGGAGCCCTCCTTGAGGAGGAGGTCATGGGTGCGTTTCCAAGTGGGGCCTTTGCCGGTCCCCTGCTCAGCTGGGAGGGCCTCTGCCGGCCCTTCGGTCTGGAGGCTCCTCTCAGCCCGGCTCTGTCACGCCTTCGATTCCCTCGGCCTGGCTCTCCTTCCCACTCGTACACGTCCACCTTCAGGCTCCAGTGGACATCACTGCCCCTGGAAAGCCCTCCCGACCCGGCGCTCAGGCAGGCTGTGTCCCACCCCCCTCCCTCCTCCAAGCTCCCCTCCAGTATTGCCGTGCGGCCTCTGCCTGTGCCAGAATGAAGCTGACAATAAAAACCGGACGGTGTCACTCTCTGTCCTCAACCCCAACTGCCCCCGTTATCCTTAACAAGTCCAGGCTCTGAGCGCAGCCGGTGGCCCTGTGATCCGCTCCCCCTCACCTCTCTGACCTCTCCCCGCCTCTCTCCAGGATGCCCGCTGGCTACCATTCTGTGCGGCAAACCTGCCCAGCTGGTCCCGGCCTCCAAGCCTTTGCACGGCTGTTCCCTCCACCCGTATCTTGACTCCTTCTCATTTAGGTCTTTGCTCAAATGTTACATCTGCACAAAGACCGCTGACCAAAGCAGCCTCTTCTATACTCTGTTGTGTTGTCAGTTTTGCCTTCTCCCTGGCTCATTCTCCCCTCCCCCATAATGAGGTTTTCATTGCCATCCCCCTAGAGGGGGACTCTAGGCTGTGTGCCTCACCTCTTACTCCCAACACTATACCGTGCTTGGCCCATGGTAAAGGCTTGATGATTATTTGCCGATTCAATCAAGCGCAGGCCACTGTTAACCTTTTTAGTTACCTGCTGGAATGGAACCATGGCCAGAGGCAGCCACAGATCCCCAGCTGTCAGCATCTCAGGGGCCTCAGAAACCACCCAGGTAAGTCTCTTCTTTGTTCACATGGGGAAACTGAGGCTCGGATACGGTAGGGCTTTACCCAGATCGCACAGCAAGGCAGTGTCAGGAGTTAGTGGGATCTGGAAGGGCCCATTCTGGGGCCTGCTCGCCCACCGCCTGGTGCTCACCAGTGTTGATAATGCTCTGAATGACCTTGGCCACCTGGCCCTTGAGCAGAGAGTTGAGCGTCTTGACAAGGAGGATGAGGCAAGTACACAGCAGCACCAAGGAGCCAGCCAGCAGGATGAGCCCTACGGCCAGGTCGGGCAGCCCTGTGTTCACGAAGATGTGGTTGCCTGTTGGGAGGGGTGTCAAGCTGCTGAGGACTGACCCCCCCTCCAGCTCCCAGCCCCCCACCTTTGCCACCCCCTTGGACTTGGAGCCCAAGGCCCCACCTCAGTCTCCTTAAACCTCAGGAGCTGGGCTGGTTGGCAGCCATCCCTCCTGGGGACAGCCCTACCTCTGCCAGGCTCTGCCCCTGCTGCCGGCACTCACATTTCTCCATGGTGGCATTTCCGAGGGTCTGGCTGCGGTTGGCCTCTGCCCTGGGCATGGGGGTGGGAGCCTAGATCGAGAGGAGGGTGACTTAGGGAATTTAGGAACATGCAGCCTGGAGTTGGGGGGAAGATGGAGATGAGGGAGCAACGGGGATGGGAGAACGGCAGTGGGTCTCCTGGCTACGTGGTCTCGGTCGTTCACTTGCCCTTTCTGAGCCTGTCTCCTCTGCTGGAGAGATGGGCGTGAAAATATCTGCCAC